ATTAAAAGAAAATCATTACCAAATTTGGTCATGAGATTCAAAATATTGTAACACGAAAATTATTGTTGCACTTCTGAAGATAACACTTTCAAATTTAAAAAGAAAATTTGAGACAAATTTTTTTTTTTTAGATTAATAGACTCCCCTTTTAAATCTGAATTGAATGGTGGTAAGTTTTTTAAAATCCAATCAATGTGTGGATCAAAAATTTTAACTTTTGAGTATAGATGATCCGCACTGTACACAAAAAAACATTGGGGAAATTGCTTGAGACTCAGCCTTAACTCTGGCATCCCGTATTTTACGCCCCAAAAGTCTTGACTATATTTGAGCAAGTATAATTGGTACTTCAGCCCAGGTTTTTTCAAATAATAAATAGTGATATTAACAATGGATTGGTGACAAAAGAAAAATTCTTTCAAGATTTGGAATTTCTTCGATGTTAGAGATGGGAAATTGCATGAAATTTCATGCGCATTTTTTATATCCAAAAAAATATACTATCATCATCACCACTGTCTTCTTCACCACTTTCTATTCTAATTGTTTCATCATCGTCATCACTTTTATCATTTTCGCCTCCCACATTTCTACCACCATCAATTATTAATATCCATATTATTGCTGGACATTTTAATTTATTATTAAAATAAATATATACCAATTTAAAACGCATCAGGTGTCAATTTGTTTCTCTTTTATCATATATAAAGGAAAAAATGGACCAATTCCTTTTAGAAGCAAGCTGATGAAATAGAGCTGAAATTATCAACTCTACCCAGTTTAACAAAATGAGGCTTTTGTCATTTCTTAAAAATACTATCGATAATAATGTGATTTGAAAAAAAATCACACGCATTGCCTTTTTTTTTCATGTGCGTGTCACATCTCTAATCATGATAATAGAAATTATCGATCAATAAGAATTTTTTTTTACTTCATAAAAGATGTGTGAAGAACGATTAAATCGTTGGAAACAAAGATTACAAAACTTGACAGAAATTCAGTTACCGACTGATTATCCACGAGAACTCCCACCAAAAACTGTTGAAGCCATTCAATCATTACATTTAACTGAAACAACCGCTTTATCTGTATTAAATCTATCTCTTTCCATACCTTCTCCAAATCTCAATACAACAAGAGTTGAACATCCTTCTCCTTTCATAATACTTTTATCTGCTTTCACAATATTGTTACATAAATATACCGGCAATGAAGATATAGCAGTTGGTTCTTCCTCTGGTATTAGAAATCCACTTGTTTTAAGATTTTCAATAAGCCCAGACGATTCTTTTGAAGAAGTTGTATTGAAAATTCAACGAGTATGTATCATAATTAATATTTATATACAAATAATCATTCAATTATAGTCATTTACTTATTATCATTGTTATCATTTTGAAAGGTAGAACGTGAAGCAACTGATGATGAAGTTCCCTTTGAATTATTATTTCCAAGTTTATTTTCAGACACAAAACCACTTGATAGTAATTCAAAATCTTCTTTAAGAAAATCATCAATTAATGGATTAGCACAAAATTTAAAATCTCCATTTCGGGTTCGTTTTTTCAATCAAACTGATACTCCTGAAAATACACATTTACAAGCTACTTCCTCCATTACCGATCTTACTGTATTCATCAATTCTCATTCGACTTCTTCACTTCGCCAAGCACTCTTACCCTCGATCGAAATACAAATCACCTACAATCAAATTTTATTTTCTGAAAAAAGAATCTCGCACATTCTAGATCAACTTGTCGCCGTCATCAATAATGCTGCTCAAAACAAACAAACCAAAATCTCTGATATGTCGATTCTAAATGATAGATGTCTCGGTATAATTCCTGATCCAAGTGCTGATTTAAAATGGTCAGAGTTTCGTGGTTCAATAACGGACATCTTTTCCAAAAACGCAAAAAATTTCCCAAAGAAACATTGTGTTGTCGAATCAACTGGTAGTGCTGGTGATTTACGTATATTTAATTATTGTCAAATTCATGAAGCTTCAAATATTGTTGCGCATTATTTATTAAAAAACGGAATTGAAAGAGAAGATGTTGTAATGATTTATGCGCATCGTAATGTGGAACTTGTAATTGCTATTATGGGTATTCTTAAAGCAGGAGCCACATTCAGTGTAATTGGTTAGTTGTTTAATAATAATAATTAACAGCTAATTTATAATTACATGCATATATATATATTAATCAATTTTTTGGGGAATAAGATCCAGCTTACCCAGCCGATCGTCAAAATATTTATCTCTCTGTCGCTACTCCTCGCGGATTAATAGTTCTTGAAAAATCGGGATTATTGCATGAATCAGTCAGGTCGTATATTTATGAAAAGTTACAAATTAAATGTGAAATTCCAGGAATGAAAATATTAAATGATGGTCAATTGAAGGGTGGAAGTATTGATGATAATAATGTCGATATATTTGATTCAGTGCTTGAATTGAAATCCCAAGATGTTGGTGTAGTTATTGGTCCTGATAGTATTGGAACTTTAAGTTTTACAAGTGGTAGTACTGGGACCCCAAAAGGTATTTAATTATAATTATATGATGAGTATTTCTCTAGTAATTTAAATATAAAAAAAAAATTTTTTTTTTAACATAAAGGTGTACGTGGAAGACATTTTTCACTTACTCATTATTATCCATGGATGTCTAAAGTTTTTGAACTTTCTGAGAATGATAGATTTACTATGCTTAGCGGAATTGCACATGATCCTATACAACGTGACAGTAAGTTTAATTATTTTTTATATTTCAATTTATTTTATAATAAAGCCAATTAACTAATCCTTTAAAATCATCTTTTTTCAAAGTATTTACGACATTATATCTTGGTGCTGAATTACATATACCAACTACTGAAGATATTAGTATTCCTGGTAGATTGGCATCATGGATGTCAAAACACCAAATCACTGTAACACATTTAACACCTGGTAATCAACAAATCAATATATATGTGTGTGTTATAAAAAAAAATGAATTGATTAATTCTCTAATTCAAAAAAAAATTAATAAATTTTTTTTAATATAGCTATGGGTCAATTACTTTCCACTAATGCTGTCACACTAATACCTACTTTACGCAATGCATTTTTTGTTGGTGACATTTTAACAAAACGCGATTGTAACCGTCTTCAACATCTCGCACATAACACTAGAATTATCAATATGTATGGAACAACTGAAACTCAACGTTCTGTCTCATATTTCCTCATCCCGCCACTTTCCATTGATTCAACATTTTTATCATCACAAAAAGATGTTATGCCAGCTGGTAAAGGAATGCAAAACGTTCAATTAATTATTGTAAACAGACATAAAAAAGATATTCTATGTGGTGTTGGTGAAATAGGTGAAATATACGTGAGAGCTGGCGGTTTATGTGAAGGTTATTTGAGACTTGATGAAGCTACCAAAGAAAAATTCTTGTATAATTGGTTTGTGGATAGTCCCCAAGAAATTGGAAAAAATGGAGAGGGGGGAGAGAAAGAGGAGGAATGGAGAAAATACTGGAAAGGAAAGAGAGATAGATTATATAAATCTGGTGATTTAGGAAGATATAGACCTGATGGAAATGGTTTGTTGTTGTTGTTGTTGTTGTTTGTATAAATTTTTTTCTCTTCTTTTTTTTCTTTAACACACGTGTATACACACCTATGTATATATGTAATCAGTGGAATGTGTTGGTAGAGCAGATCATCAAGTTAAAATTCGTGGATTTAGAATCGAACTTGAAGAGATTGACTCGCATCTTTCACAGCATCCACTTGTTAGAGAGAATGTTACATTAGTACGTAGAGACAAATATGAGGAACAAACATTAGTTAGTTATTTTGTACCTAATGAAGGTGATGGACTTGATGAATTCCTTAGCTCGACTGATGAAAGTGATAGTGTTGTCGAAAACCCTTTACAGGATCTTACTAAAAGAAGATATAGAAGACTTGTTAAACAAATTAGGGATTATTTAAAATTGAGATTACCAATTTATAGTATACCAAGTGGTAAATAGATACATATTTGTTTATTTAATGATGATGATGATAATTTATTTTTTACAAGTATACAACTAATATTTTTTTAATTAAAAAAAAATAGTATTTATTCCTTTAAGAAAAATGCCATTGACACCAAATGGTAAAGTTGACAAGAATTCATTACCATTTCCAGATACTGCCCAATTTACCACCAATACTTCAACAAATAATGACGGAAAGACAGCTCAACAAATGACAACAACAGAACAAACAGTTCATGAGATATGGTCACAACTTTTACCAAGTTCGCTAACAACTTCATTACCTTTAGACGAAAGTTTCTTTGATCTTGGTGGTCATTCAATTCTTGCTACAAGATTGATTTTTGAATTGAGAAAAAAATGCGGTGTTGAGATTCCATTACGATTGGTATTTGAAAAAACCACTATAAGTGAACAAGCCAAAGAAATTGATAATATATTAACAAGAGATTTTAACATTGCTAATGAGGAAGAACCCCAACTATCATTATTGCAAAAAAATAAAAACAAAACTCAACAAGATTCCAAAAACAACCAAAAAAAGGATCATGAAATTCAAAACGAATTTGATTACGCTAATGAGCTTGAATCATTAACAGCCGATTATCTTTTATCAAAATATGAACCTATCAATGAAGAAAATTTTTCAAGAAAAATTTTTTTTGTTACAGGAGTTACTGGATTTCTTGGTGCTTTCATAGTTTCAGATTTGCTCAGTTACCAGAAAGATGTAAAAGTAATTGCACATGTTCGTGCAAAAACAAAAACTCTTGCTTTTCAAAGAGTCAAAGAAAGTTTGACGTTGCATTTAGTATGGAAAGATGAATGGGAATTGGAACAGAGAATTGAGGTTGTTTGTGGAGATTTGGAAAAAGAAAGGTTAGGTATTAGTGAAGAGGAATGGGAGCAACTTGCTAAAAAAGTTGATGTAATTGTACATAACGGAGCTTTGGTTAGTTCCTATCTTTGTTTTGTATTGTTTTGTCATATTTAGCTAAATAATTAATCAAATGATTGGTTGATTAATTAATTATATATATAGGTACATTGGGTTTATCCATATTCAAAACTACGAGCTGCAAATGTAATTGGTACAATTTGGGCTATGAGACTTGCATCGACTCATCACACTAAATCTTTTAATTTTGTTAGTTCAACATCTGTACTTGATACAGACCATTATGTTAATCTTAGTGATTCAATAATTGGAAAAGGTGGAAAAGGTATTTATGAAAATGATGATTTGAACGGTAGTAGGGTAGGATTAAGAAATGGGTACGGGCAATCTAAATGGGTTGCAGAAAAATTGATTATGGAAGCTCATAGTAGAGGACTCCCAGCAACAATTATTAGGCCTGGTTATGTTGTTGGACATTCTAAAACTGGTGGTATGTATAATTAATATGCATTATAATTATTTTGGATAAAATCAAAAGATAATCTGTTTTTTTTTTCCTTATTTTTTACTAGTCACAAATACAGATGATTTTCTTTGGAGATTAGTTAAAGGATGTATTCAACTTTGTTTAATTCCAACCATTCATAATATAATTAACATGTGTCCAGTTGACTATGTATCTAATTGTATAGCGAGTGTTTCATTGTCACCATCAACATCTACATCAAAATTTATATTTCATATAACTCATCCATCAAATCCATCATTTAGGTTTGAAAATTTATTTAATGCATTACCACTTTACGGATACGAAGTTAAAAAAATTGAATATATTATATGGAGAGATAGGTTAATGGAATTCACATTGAAAGCTCAAGATAATGCTTTATATCCTTTGCTACATTTTGTTCTTGATGATTTACCAGCATCAACCAAATCGCCTGAATTGGATGACAGCAATACACAAGAAATTATTGCCAGCAAGGAGGAAAAATTTCAAGGTATAGATGAGAAATTAATGGGTATTTATTTAGGATATTTGGTTAAAGTGGGATTTTTAGATAAACCGCAAAAAAACCCCGGTGAATTGATAGTAAATGATAATGATAATATTAATAAGGAAAACAGCAGTAGTGAGAAAACTGATATAAATAAAAAATCAATTCAAAGAGTTTTGGAATTACCAGATGTTTCTGCTGCTATTAATGACATCAAAGCATTGAAAAGAAGTGATAGAAGTTAGAAATTATTGATAATCTTTTGATTTGTATATTTATTATTTAATATTTAAATGTTTGAAGAAACTAAAATAAAAAGATTATTGGGTGTAATTAATCAAAATTAAATTATGGGGGTTTTTTACACATTATTTGTTGACTAACAATTTCGACAGACGATTAACATTAATGCAGTTCTTTAGACTATGATGAATTGATCTACACACTCCATCTTATTGTTACGCGTAATAAACAAGATATTATTTTTTTTATGGCTATATGATTGGATACATATTAAAAAAAGATGCTGCAATAGTAAACATCTTACTAAAACGAGTTTTGGGTATAGCCTTGTATGAGGTTAATGACTTATTTAAAGTCACATGATTTCCCTCTACCCTTAAGTAAGTTTATAAGAAAAAGTTGTTACAATAAGGGGTAGCATTTCCATATCGCGTAATATACTATCGCTATGTTGAAAATTCAGTGTGGAGAATGTGGAATGTGGAATGTGGGGGTGGGTGGGTGTACAGTGTATAAATTTCGGTGTGTAACTAATGCAGATTCCTACAAATTTAGAAACAATCTGCAGAAACTGCTAATGTATTATGTTACTGGGGGTGTAGCGTCAAATTTTGAATTTCAGAGGATAGTTTCTAAATTTATCGTGACATATCATGCTGATTGTTATGAACACAAATTTATTGTTATTGTTATGAACAACAAACATTGATTAGCATATATAAAAATGATAATTTCTTTTCTAACAATTTTTATAAAAAATAAAAAAAATAATGACAAAAAGTAAATATATATATATACAGCAGATAATTTTTTATAGAAGGAACTATATATAATAACAGTTGATTTCTTTATAGCAGAGAAAGTTCATCCAAAATGTCCGAACAAAAAAATTCTCTTGTCAAGATTGTTCCTACTTCCAATATCAATAATTCTTCTCTCAAATACAATATCCTTGTCTTTAAAAATGATTCCTTCGAAATAAATGGAAGGTATTACGATGATCCTCGTCTTCGTGGGCCTGGTAGATCTATCTTTGATTTTTCCGATTTTTATAAGGTGAGCGTTCTCACTGGACATGTTGTTGAGTGTTATATTAATGAAGTTACGCTGGCTAGAGACCTGGTAACGGTTCCAGGATAACGCTCTAGTTGAATAGTTAATATCCTGATATATTGTGATAATGGTTTCATGAGTGGTATCGGTTAAACACTATGAAATATCATGTTTTCATTATTATTTTTTTTTTATATATATTATAGTTAACAGATATCCAAAAAGGATTGAAATATGAGTATATGCTTTACAAACAGATTGAAAAGAACAATGTCTTGAGTTATTCTAATAAAACTCAATTTTATGTTGATGGAAATTGGATTAATATAAGCGATGGGAACATAGATCTTCATGGTAATTTCAATAATTTCGAATATGTTATTCAAGCAAAATGGAAATCATCAAGTCAATTTATTATTGTAGAAGAAGTTGAAAGATTTATTGGTACAATGGTTGATCAACTTAATAAATTTGGTTTTTTTGTTTCAAACGTTGGATATTCTGAAAAAGCCATTAATCGTGTTAGAAACTCTTCAGTAAAAAATATCATCCTATGCTCGGAAAATATTTTGATCGAATTAATCAAACTATTAGAATCACAATTTAAAAATAAAAATAATAGAAAAATTATAGATCCATCTATCTATGATGA